TGCCAGGACTATGAATTGGGACCTTGGTTCCTCTCTACATGGGCCTCTCTTTGGGCTGCTTGAGCTTCCTTACAGCATGGTAGTTGAGTTCCAAAAGCAAGGGTTCAACAGATTCAGGAGGTTCAGTATTACCATTCATAATCTAAATTACACAGTATCACTTCCATTATAGTCTAATCAGGCAAGGCTGTCTCAAGGGCTCATCCAGGTTTAACAAGAGGGGACATAGACTCCACTGCTCTATGAGAGGAGTATTGTCTAGGTCATACTGTTAAGACCATTTAGGGAAAACACAGTCTGCCAAAACACATTTCTGCTACAACTGTAACATCCACAGTCCATGCTGGCATTAGCAAATGTTAATCTCTTTTGGCAACACCCACACTGACACACCCAGGATTAATACTTTGTATCCTTCAATCCTATCAAGTTGACAGTATTAACCATTATATATTCATTATATATTTAGGTATTTAGTATTTAGTAGAAGTATTTAGTAACTTGTCCAAAGTTACACAACTGGTTAAGTGGTGGAGCCAGGATGGCAACACTCATCTATTTGACTTAAGACTGTTTTTTTCACTACACCATGCCTCAAAGTGTAAAACATAAATACAGTCTGTAAAATGTCCCTATTTCAACAATGCAGTTCATTCTATTTCCTCTGATACATATATAAAAGATCTCTGTCTCTCTCACTTCTGCAATGAGTTAGAGTAAAATATTGCAAATGACAGAAATTTATTCCCCTAAATAACCAACGAAGTCTTCAAGGAGCACATTAGACAAGTCCCTTCTCAATTCATGCCCATGTTATCACTGGTTAATGCTTATGTAGGAATTACTATCTGGAAGATTGTAGAAGAACCTCAAACTAATTATTAAGACTAATTTTGCAAATTAGTGTAAGACATATAATACAAATTAGAGGAATTCAGTATGGGAGTCTATTACATACAAAAAAGAATTGTGAAGAAAAAATAAGTGAAGTCTCAAGAAGTTTGCATAAATGGACTCTTCAGAAATATATGATGATTAAATATACCATGGGAGCTCCCTGCTTAAAAAAAAAAAAAAAAAAGACATTTCTCTTGTTGCAGCCAGATTTCCCTATGTTAGGACACAGTCAATGGAGTTCATGAGAAACACCCATGAGTAGTTCATTGCACATGCCCAATCGGTAAGTAGGTGTCGAGGCACAAGAACCTCGGCTGCAGTGATTAGGGAGGTTCTTACCCAAATATCTCTTTATAATAAGATCTGCAGTTGGTGATGGCAGGGATGAGGATCCCCCACCTCTTTTCCTTATTGCTAAATACAAGCTTCCAAAAAATGGTTGTGAATGACAAGGACTGTAAGAATTATGCATATTTTACCACATCATTAACCTAAGCAAAGCGTGATTCAACCACAATATGCCATCAATACATGGGACTACAGTGACGCTTTTGGCAAGAATTTGGAAATAAAATTTCTTACTGAGACATACTCTTTGAAATTAACAAATAATTGTTTAGAGCAGAGACATGCTAAGTCACCTGTAGAAGACAGAATGGTTTCCAAGCTGGTGGGACTTTGCAGTGATTTGGTATTTTTAAAAATTGTGTCCATCAGAATTTAAGTAGCATTGGAAGTACACATAAATTGAGTCACTGAGGCAAACGGTGGTGGGATCCATCCAATTACTGCTCAGGAAAAGGCAGCTTTAGTCAGGCTTTTCAATTGGTCTAGACCCATTAATTCCTTCATTTATTCACTGAACTTTATTCAGTTCCTATACATCAGGCATTAGCCTACATGTTGGAGATACGGACGCGAATAAGTCAAAATCCCGTTTCTATTCTGGTGGGGAAGGTAGTCGATTAAAAAAATAAACCATACACCAATAGCATCAAGTTTGTGCTTCAACAAAAGCTTAACGAGGTAGGAAGATACAGTGAAGGAGGGAGGTCTTGGGGAGGAAACAAGGTATTATTTCAAATAGGGTATCTTAGAAGGCACTGCTAAGAATGTGATATTTAAGCAGAGATAGCTGCACAAAGCGAGGAAGAGAGCCATTCGAAGATCAGAGTTAAAAAAAAAAGTTATGACAGAACAGGAAGTGGCAAGTTCAGAGGCTGGAATAAACTAGTTTGTGGAAACAGAAAGGCCAGTTTGGCCTTTGTGTGTGTGCTGTTTGCCAAATATTCTAGTTCCCTCTCCTTCTGGGCACAAGACAGAATTGCATCACCTGGTTCTTCTGTAGTTGTATATAGGACCATGTGACTAGTTCTGGAGAATCGTAAGTGGAAATAATATGTGCCATTTACAGACAGAGCAATGTAAGATGCTCTAGAGCTTTTCCCTCTCTGGTATGATTGATGATTGCTAATGCATGATAGTGGCTGCTCCATCAGCCTAGATCTAGCAGAAAGGAAGGAAACAGAATCATCACTTGTCTTCTAGTAGACACATAATTTGAGTAAGAAATATTAGTATTGTTGTTGTTTTTGTTTTGAGATAGGCTCTCACTATGTTGGCCTAGTTTGGACTAAAAACTCCTGGGTTCAAGAGATCCTCCTGCTTCAGCCTCTTGAGTAGCTGAGACTACAGGCACACACCACCATGCCTGACTGTACTGTTTTAAGCCTGTTGGGGATATCTCAACATGGTGTAACCTGTCCTGACAGATACAGTAAGTGTAACTGATGGAAAGCAAGCTAGAGGGAGACTGGTAGACAATGAGATCTAAGGAATAGGTGGAGGGCAGGTCATGCTAAGCCTTGTAGATTATGACAAATTTGGATTGCACTCTGTGTGAAGGAAAACCATTGGAGGACCTTGAGCAGAGAAATAGGACATGATTTGCATTTCAAAAGAATCAGTCATGTAGGGGAAACGTCTTATTCATAAGAAACACATACTGAGGTATTGCAAGATGAAGTATAATGATTTCCACAACTTACTTTCAATTGGTTCAGTAAAATGTGTGTGTGTATGCATGTGTATAAATTCACCAAGGGGGCAAAGTATTAATTGGTGAATCTAGATGAAGGTTCACTGCACTCTTTCAACTTTTTTGTGGGTATAAATTTTTAAATAAAGTTGGGGGAACCACTCTAGAGAACTATAAGAACATTATGAGCTACTGCAGGTGTGAAGTGGTTTGGGCTGGAGTGGCAGTGGTGAAAAATGGGTGGATCTGAAACCCATTTTGTATTCGAAGCCAGCAGGATTTGCTGATAGATTGGCTGTGGAGTGTGAAAAGTCATCAATGTGTTTCTTAGGTTTTTGTCCTGAGCAAGCGTGAGGTGGGTGATGCCATTGAGATGGGAAGACAGAGGGAGGGCTAGGGTTAGGATATGGAAAACAGCAATTCTATTTGGGGCACATTAAGGGTGAGGATCCAAATGGAGACTGGGTTGGCAGCTGGATAAATGAGTTGGGAATTCAAACAGGTCTAGGCTGGAAATACAAAATATGGAATTATCAGCACCTATTGGCACCCAAGCCATGGATGGATAGGCTCTCCTAGAAACCAAGTGTAGGTAGAGGAGGGCAAGGACTGTGCCATGGGGAACTGGAGCATAAATGGACTGGAAAGAGGATCATACAATTGATTTCTCTTGTTCTGATTCCATGCGTACTCAGCAAGCACCTGATTATTGTTTGACTTCCTATACAGGACCATATATAAAGGAAAAGTTAGCCATATGGACTTGGAATATTCTGACTCCTGGGAGAGTTCTCACTGTAAATAAATTTATCACATTCACAAGCTTAGTTTCAGTTAGCCCCTGAAACAAAACCATAATCAGTGTGCTGACAAAAATCTGATGGTGAGTCTGCATACGGGAGAGCCAGACCCTGCACTGTGGAAATTCCCCAAGAGAATAAATGCTACACTGCTTGCTGACACTCTTCCATAGCTCACACCTATTTGCAGCCTGCCAAGTGAAAATGTTCTCATATTTCCACAACTGGTGAGACAATCCTGAGCCAGGTATAGCTAAGAGAATATTCCTTTTTATAGGGGTATACCTTTTATTGTCAAAGTTCTACTTATGTGCCATGGTGTCTCTAACATAGTTTTCCTTCCACATGATCTTGCATTTCCTTAGATCAGGGTCCTTATTACTTTATTACTATTTGGAGAGTATTCTCTATGTGCTTGCCCTTGATCTATTTAAAATTTATATTTCATTTTTGTATAGGTAATATTCAATTGGTTCAAAAATCAAAATGACACTGAGAAATCTCCCCACCAACCTCCACCCTCCAAATCATTGCTTCTCTCACTTTGTGAATCCATCTAGCCTTTAGGCTGTTAGCAATTTTTTGCTATTACAAAGTTGCAACTAATAACTACATATACATACATATACATGGTTTGTGAACTGTAGTTTCTGTTTTCTCTGCTAAGCTGTGATGATGGGAAACATATTCTACTTCTTTTGGGAGGGGATGGGCAATTTCTGATAAAAGTTCAGGCTCAAATTGCATTCTTCCCCTTCCCTTTTAGTCTGAAGTATGGGTAACATGGCACTTTCTGTATAACATGATTAAATAGCATCCCGGGCTGAATCAGTTTAAACATGTTGAAGTTTAACTATTTAGTGTCTATTGCTTTGAAAATAAAAATGCTTATGCTGGCCCAATGAGAAAAAATTAAGAAGGTCTATAAAGGTTATTGGAGAAAATGTATTTGTGGGAGGTGGATCGACATGTAACTTAATAATAAAAAGAAACGCAGCTGAGAAGTTAATGCGTATTTGTCTTTTCCCTCCCATGGTGTAACAGATTGTATTTTCCAAAGATAGCTGCCTCAATATATCCCATCCCACATGCTCTTATGATGTGACATTGACACTGTTCCCATTGAGTGGTGGGGCCTGTATATGTCTCCCTTGAACCTCAGGTGATACTTATGACTGCTCCCACAATAGAATACAGTGGAAGTTGTCCAGTTAAGCCCAGTCAACCCCAGAACCACAAGTAAATAACATAATGATTCAAAAAAATTAAGTTTTAGGATTATTCATTATGCAGCAGTACAAAATAGAAACACGATCTTGATTTTAACTTGTCTCTACATTTTCCTTGGTCTTGATTCTTTAATTTTTATTCAGATTTTACTGTAATTTTGTCTGTTCCTTTTCTTGGGTGGAGATGGTCTGTTCTTACTGCAGGTCACTTAACATCCTTTGTGGTGGAGGGTATAAATACAATGTAATTACATTTTTAAAAAAGCTTTCCTATCTAGCTCAGGAATGTAAACTCCCTACTGTTATTCTGTAAATAAGGATAAATCCATGAAAGTGTTATCACTATTTTTGAGAGATTTCTTTTAAGGAAAAGAAAAAGAATTACTTTCTGTAGATCTGTTCTACACTTTCTGCTCCTCCTCAAAATAGATCCTTTGCCCATGAACGTTTATAGAAATTATAATCTCATCTATGAGGACCAAATGACTAATTCATTCAACAAATAGGCCCTTAACAGGCATCTATTGTGTGTAAGATATTAGAACAAGTGCCAAACGTACAAAGACCCAGTCCAGCCTCACAAAAGGGCTGCGGGACTAGTGACTACTTATACCTATTAAATGCTTACCATGTGCAAAGCACTGGGCATGTCTGGAAGTCATTAAATGCTTACAGTAATGAAGGAGTGTTTAAAACAACCACACAAAAAGCAGAGTGACCAAATAACCTGAAAAACAATTTAAAAAAATTAAAAATATTATGCAGCAATTTTAAATTCATCCATGAATTTGGTAATAGAGCTAATTTATTCTCTCCATATTCACAGAAACAATGTATCATATAGCATAAATGTTTAAAAAGCGAGAATTATGTTTAATATAAAAATTGTGATATTATAGTTTTTAAACACATTAGTCAACACATTTATTAGTCTAATAAATGTAGAAGACACTGTTCTTGTCCATGGCAAAATGCATAGTATTACATTGATAAGCTTTTAAAATAAAATATGAACATTTGTAAATGAAATAAATTAGAAATAAACATTAGAAATATAAACTGTCAAATTATTTGTTACTGGCTATTCACCAAATATAAGAAAAAACAGTAAATACATAAAATATCCTTACAAGCTCTTGGGTCAGGAGAAAATGAAAGTATTAATTGTATATCCTTTCTAGTATTAACCTTTTACTAAAAAAATGAAAGAGTTCACAATACACAGTTATATTTTAACTAACATATATCCAAAGGTATATGGAAGGTGAAAATCTATCCAAGGTTTTCCAAATGAAATGGCAACAAACCAATGACCACATAAAAGTAAAAATTAATTTTATGCTTTTTGAAAAAAACATTTTGAGTCTTTTACTCACTGCTTTATAAAGTATGAGTAGGGAAAATTAAATAAAGCAAATAACATATTCAATATTATAAACAATTAGACTAAGCCCATCCAAATCAGAGATTAAATGATTCTATGAACCAAACATATAAAGATGAAGGAGGACTACAGTGAAAAAGATACACAAGAATAAAAAGGAGGAATAAAGCAACACCCTCCTCTAAACACATAGGCTAACATAGAGCTGAGACACAGAAGCATAAAACAGGGAAAAAACTGACACACTTAGCCAAATCTTGGCTTCCCCTCTAGTTTTGTCCCACAAAGTAATGTAATATTTGCATCTCGTCTGGTGACCTTACTGTGCTTCTTCTAAAGACTTTTAAAGGTATGGTATTTTCCTAAGTAGACTGAACTGACTTCAGAATCAGTGGTCACATGCCTGCTTTACTTGGTTTGAGTTAAGATGAAAAGTTTGGTTAATTAAAAGCTTCCGATGTTATAGTTCATCTTCAGAATCTTGACTGTGAATTTTCTGAGGGTGTCTCTTAACGGTGATTACCAAGTCAATGGTTAATATTTGTGTCAAACACTGAAGAACTGAAGTTAGCAGCTGGCATTTACCAGTTACTGATTCCAAACCTGCCTGACTGCTTACTATGGGTTGATTGGTTTGCAGTGCATGGAGAGCTCTTATATACATATGTGGAAAGCTGTCCTTTCCTGTTTTAGATTTATAAAGGACTTTGGGAATGCCTAAAAGTGCATTAGCTATTATCATACTAACCATGGTTTCTTCTGATTGATGGCATTTTTTGGCATAGTTGAGAAGATAGTAATGTAACAAGATCTCAAAATTACCGCCTACTGGCAAAACACAACCAGCTGGCACAGATGAGGAAAGGTAACTCTGGGAAGTACCCATATTCTGTAACTTGTAGCTCATTGGTAACAAGCCTCCCTTTCCAGTAATATTTGTGACCTGTAAATTTTCATAACAAATTTCTATTCTACTGTTTCCTCTTGTTGAATAAGCAGTGGAACTGCTCTTGAGTAATGCTTCATAATCACCAATTAGGCTGTTTTCTTCCAAAGACAAACATCTCAGCGTTTCATCTGTTTGGAATGTATCTGCTGGTGTCAGTTTGGGGGTTGAATATGGAATACATGTTTCTAATTCTACATCTGAAATTGCCAAATTTGAATATGCTTTTAAATATGTTTGAGTTTTTTCCAATTCATCTTTGTTTTCTACAACTGTGTCTGGATAAGGCTTTTGTATTGAGCCATTACCAGCATCCGGTACCCGATAACTTTCTCCACTGTTCTTACAAATAAAAAGACTTGCAGTGTCATTTTGGTCATTGGCTTGTGTCACATAATTTAGATCAAGGTCTTTAAATAATTGCTGAAGCATTTTAAATGCTCCATGCAAAGCATCCTCATGTTGTTCAATGAGACCCTGAACTGGTCCACAAAGAACTATACAGTGTGGTATAAATGTACATGTGCTAATCAAGCCAAGATGAACATACCTTCTTGATCTAAGGATAAGAGGTTTACAAAATTTCACCAAAGCAGTGTTAGAAATTTCACACTGTGAAAAGGCGTGTGGTGGTACAAATGGGGAAAGACCAACGATCCTCTGGATAAGAGAAATTTCTTCTGATGATAAACACTCAACCACTGATATACCATTCACTCCTGCATAATAAATAACGAAATCTGGTTGTCTCACACTAGACAGGAGCAATTTTACATTCTGACTATGTAGATGCTTCATTATTGCTTTTGTCTTTTCTATAATCCAAAATTGAGATGTCTGAAACTGTGCTTCTGAATTTAGAATAAACTCTGATCCAGAAGTGGAAAAAAGAGGCTGAATGGTTTCTGTTACTATCACCATTCGTATGTCACCATCTGCTGGGCAGTACATAGAAAAGTCTTTCTGAAGCACAAGCCCAGCTATGATCCTGGAATCTGAAACAGGAAGGCCAGTGACACCAACATTCAACTCTACAAAACAGTCATCCACTAACTCAAATACATCAATCCCACTTTTACAAGTCATACACTTGAAAAAGTAGTCACACATTAACTGTGAAATAAATTTGTGATTATTTCTTCCCACTCTTCCACAAAAGTATGCTTCTAAGAGCAACTCTAAAGAGCTCCTACACAATGTCCTCTCTTTAGCAGATGAAAAGATAGACAAAAAGTGTCTGCTTAGGTACTGGTCCATAATACCATCTAATACTTGTGTCTGAAACGTTAGGAGAGCCTGGGAAATAAATTTCCACTGACAATTTTTCCAATGCCTTCCGTACATTTGAATGTTTTCACACATCAAAGAATCCTTTTCTCTCTCTGTGAATGCATGAAGTCCTCTAAGCAAACGGCAAAGATAGATAATAAATGTTTTTGCACCATCTCCTGTTTTTTTGAGATGACTGGAAACACAGTCCACTATCATCCTGCACAAAAAAGAAATAAAGCAACTCATTTTCAGAAGGCTGGCTTCCCACATCTAAATTAAGTTAAAACCATGTTTTCACAGCTATAAGCACAAAATTAGAATATTGTTCATTTGATACATTCTTATTTTCTTTTCTTGAAAAAACCTCTGCTTTATCCCAAGATTCCACAGTTGGGTGGAGAGGGAAAAAGTGTTTTTGGGAATTGGTTAAGATTTGGGGTACAGGAGTGTTCCCTTGGCCAGGGTTCTAATTCCGAGCATACAGCGGCTTCACCCGAGGTCAGTCTTTCCAAGTACTCTAAGAATAGCCTCAGGATGGGACAAGAGGACCACAGAGGCTGCCTGGGGTGCCCAGCTACGGGCTAGCGTACGGGACGCGGATACCTGGCTATGGGATGCTCTAAGTGTAGCGCCTCCAGCAGGCGGCCTCCATTCCGGCTGAGCAGCACCTCGCCAGTGGGCTTCGTACACAAAACTTGCCGCCCCTCGGGCCCCACACAGCAGCTCACGATGGCTTCCAGCACCTCGGTCACCTGCAACGCCGCCTTCACAGATCCTGCGGCGGCCACAGAACTTAGCATCTGGGCCACTTTCCCTTTTTTGCCAGCTTGCGGAACACCAATGCCGACGAAAAGAGGAGTGGGAACGGCCGGAAACGGAATAGGCGGGGAGAAAACCGGAAGCAGGTTGAGAAGCCGGGGTAGCGGGACTTCTTGGTTGGGCGAAAGCGCTGCCCTTCCGCCCGCTAGGAGGAAATGCCCTGCCTCTTTGCCAGCTGGCGTGAGTTGGCCCGCTGTCCGCGAAGTTAGAAAAAAAGGCTAGGATTTCCGGCAGCTGTGCCTGGAGCGGCAACCTTAAGCCCTTCCCCTGTTCCCCAGGTGAATTCATTTTCCTCCAGTGGCGTCAGCTGCCCCCAAATCCTTTAGTCTCCTGAGAAACTTTTTTCCGAAATAAACACGGTAGTGGGCCTGCGTGGAGAGGGCACCAGGGTTGGAACTCGGCTGGCTTTCATCCCCTGCTAGAAGCTGCTTGTTAGTGGGCAAAACCTCTGCTTTGGATTCACTGTCCACATTCTCCACCAGTTGTTCTCCTTACCGTCACGGAAATAATTTCTAGATGCAGGACAGGTGCGAAGGGTCTAGCTACAGCCATGAATTGCAGGCTTTATGTGTGCTGCTGAGGTTTTACCACATTCCCTAGACTTAGGTATCACAATAAAACTCTAGACACCACAAATACATTACTTTTTTTTTTTTTTTTTAGCAGAAATGACGTGAAGATTCATTCATTCATTCATTCGAGATGGAGTCTCGCTCTGTCGCCCAGGCTGGAGTGCAGTGGTGCGATATTGGCACTCTGCAACCTCCACCTCCCGGGTTCAAACGATTCTCATGCCTCAGCCTTCCAAGTAGCTGGAATTACAGGTATGCGCCAGTGTGACCAGCTAATATTTGTATTTTTAGTAGAGACAGGGTGTCACCATGTTGGCCAGGCTGGTCTCAAACTCCTGACCTGAAGTGATCCACCCGCCTCAGCCTCCCAGAGTGTTGGAATTACAGGCGTGAGCACTGCGTCCGGCTGATGTGAAGATGTAAATCCATTAGTCACGTTGGTGATCAACAGTATGCTTTAAAAACACACTGGCCAGGGATTATCGTATATAATCCAATGACAGAGAATGCTGTCTCTTATATTACAACACTTTTTTTTTTTTGAGACTAGGTCTCACTCTGCCGCCTAGGTTGGGGTGCGGCGATCATAGCTCACTGCAACCCTGCGTTCCTGAGCTCGTGATCCTTCTGCGTCAACCTCCAAGTCACTTCGTGCCTTGCTAGGCCAGTTATTTTTATTTAGTAGAGATAGGGTCTCCCTATGCTGCCCAGCCTGGTTTTGAATTCATGGCCTCAAGTGATCCTCCAGACTTGGCCTCCCAAAGTGTTAAGATTACAGGCATGAGCCACCTTGCCTGGCCTAAAACACACGCACTTGAGAGTATGGGCTTTGGATTCAGACCTGGGTTTGCTGTTATTTCCTTACCTGTGGCATTTACCAAGTAACCTCTTTGATCTCTGCTTTTCTCATCTTTAAAAGCAATTGGCCTGGCTCATGCCTGTAATCCCAGCATTTGGGGAGGCCAAGGCGGGCTATCACAAGAGACTAAGAGTTCGAGACCAGCCTGGCCAACACAGCAAAACTCTGTCTCTACTAAAAATACTAAAAATATAAGAGTTAGCTGGGTATGGTGGTGCATGCTTGTAATCTCAGCTACTCTAGTGGCTGAGGCATAAGAATACCTTGAACTTGGGAGGGGAGGTTGCAGTGAGCTGAGATTGTACCACTGCACTCCAGCCTGGGGGACAGAGCAAGATCTTGTCTCAAAACAAAACAACCCCACCAAAAAAAAACAATGGATATAACATAAATAAAAGAAAAATCTCAAGGTTTTGAGGAGATGAATGTTCACTATACCTGCACAGTGGCTAGCATAGTTAGCACTCAACATTAAAATATTTATAGTACATCTGTTACAGGAAAAGGGTCCCAGTCCAGACCCCAAGAGAGAGTTCTTGGATCTCATGCAAGAAAGAAATTCAGGGCAACTCCATAAGTGAAAGCAAGTTTATTGAGAGAGAAAAAAAAAATAAAAGAATGGCAACTCATTGGCAGAGCAGCCCTGAGGGCTGCTGGTTGCCCATTTTTATGGTTATTTCTTGATTGTATGCTAAACAAGGGGTGGGTTATTCATGCCTCCCCTTTGTAGACCATATAGGGTAACTTCATGATGCTGCCATGGCATTTTTGTAAAGTGTTACTGGCACTGGTAGGAAGGTAGCTGTGAGGACAACTAGAGTTCACTCTCGTGGCCGTCTTGGTTTGGGTGGGTTTTGGCTGACTTCTTTACTGCAAACTCTTTTATCAGCAAGGTCTTTATGACCTGTACCTTGTGCCAACGTCCTGTCTCATCCTGTGACTTAGAATGCCCTAATCATCTGGGAATGCAGCCTAGTAGGTCTCAGCTTTATTTTACCCAGCCCCTACTCAAGATGGACTTGCTCTGGTTCAGATGCCTGATACACCCACCAAATTACTGTGGTAAGTCACCACTCTCCTGGTTCGTTATTCCCACAAGTGATATTTTGTAAGATGCAGAAGATTGAGATAGCATAAGAGCACAACATAGATCATCTGTGAGATTCAAAACATGCCACTATTAGCAAGAAAATGATCTTGCTAATATTTCACTGAGGTTGGACAATGAGGGGCTGTTTTCCTTACTCCTTATTGCTATGACCAAGATAGAAGGAACCAGCAGGCCCTCCTATCTTTTTCTCCCCAATTAATAAAACCAAACCAAATGACAGCCAGAAGCCATTGGATGCTGAGCGGAGAGCAAGAATGGGAAGAGAGGAGGGTGGGGGAAAAACCAGAGAGAAATGATGTCTTGGAACTCATCTGATATTGACTGAGTATGGACTAATAGGTGTAATCTGAGGAGAAAAAAAAAAAACTTTCATAGGGATTTCGTATATGTCTGTTTAATAGTAGGGTTTTTTTCTGGTGCTACTCATAACAAAGGGGTTACAGTATTCAATAGAGATTCAAGCAGTGAATTATATTCCTGACATTTGGAAGTGAAGTGCTATGGTTAGCATTCTATTTAAGTGTACAATGGAGATACAGATTCAAACTCTTAAAAAAGAGTGGGCTACCAGTCTTACTCTGTAACTTTTGGAGACTTTCAACCTCTCCAAGCCTCACTGTCTTCATGCATAAAATCTGGCTTACTTCCACTTAAGGCTCTCATAGAGGATTCAAGAAGAATGAATATAAAGCACCAAGCAAAGCATACTTCAGGGATTCTCACTGTTGAATCCCTTTCAAGTTTTCTGCCATCCTTTGCGGCTATCTCTACACCCCCAAAACGGAGTACTAAAAAAAATTAACACTGATTTAGTCACCATGTTGTATTAAAAGTCACTTGATCACACTTTGCTCTTTTACAAAATTTTATTTAGAAGCCTACTTATAGAAGTTAACATAATTTTACAGATTATTAGAAAAATTCAATTCTTTTCTTTTTGCAAACAGTTATAATAGGTTAGGAATAATAGGTTAGAAATGTACTACATTACAAAACAGTGGCCTATAACTATCTGTACATTTACTATGCACCTTAAGGAAAAGAATTTGACAGTGTGCTGTACTTACACTGCAGGTAACATATTTTTATTCTATCACACAAAACTGACCAGTGGTAGTGCTTGAGTTTATAAATGGTCATTAAACAAAATATTTAAACTCAGATGTATATTTAGCATGCCAAAAAGTGAAAAAAAATTTCAACGGAAGTTCTGTGGCTCATCAGTTCAAATGTTTCATGGCATTTTTTTTTAAATGATAAAATTTGATATTATAAAACCAAAACAATTTTACATAACAAATGCAAAAAGATAAAATTACCTAAATTTTTAGAAAGAATATTCACATTCATTTTGTCATGGGTTTCATGTGGCTCTTCTAAATATATTAATCATATTAATAAGACACTGGTCCTATACAATTTTAACAGTCCATCTTCAATTAAAAGCTGTAACAAAAACAAACAGTATGTAAGGGTAACAAAAAGTAAATTAAATATACTAAACTCAAACAACCGATAGAATAAAATGAAACCAAATTACATAATGGCAGGTTATATATTTTAAAGACTCTCTTTCCACTTAGTCAAATAAGATAGAAATTGAAATGTAAACTTACTGATTTCTGTGGGGCTTTCCCCACTGGTTCAGACTGGAAAATTTGATATAAATCTAATATTTTATTTATGTACATTTAATATGATTCAGTATAATCTGCAGTCTCATGTATGGCTTATCAATGATGCCGTCATCACTGTATGTCAAACAAAAAAACCTCACTGCTTACTAGAAATGCTAAATACTGGAAAAATGGAATTTTATACATTTGTTTTCTTAAATTTTGACAGATATTCTTCAAAAAGTTAAAACTGCCTTCCACAAAATTTTCTATGTATATGGCACAAGCTGACAGCCAAAAAAGTGTGAATTCCATCGAAAAGGCACTGTTAACAATACTCAGAATAATCTGACAAGTCTACATCAATGTCTGAGTAAAGAACAGGTAAATAGACAAACCCTTATAAAAGATAGAATTATTGTTTAAATATACTATAGCTATATAAAAAGAAATAAAGTGACACAGAAATGACCCTTTTATGACAACTAAGCCTATAAACACCTTGAATCATATTACTTCTGTAACACAAAAATGACAAAACATATTTTCTTAAAGGCACAACAGCATGAATATTAAACGAAAACTGTATTTTACAAGGCCAACTTTTCAATGGAACGCAGTTGCCAACTGAGCTGTGACCAAGAGTACACTATACCTAAATGATACAAAACAATGAAATACAAGTGAAATATCTATTGCTGTAACTTAACATTTCACGTGCCCTATTTATTGTTTTATTTTACATGTCCTGGGCCAGCTACATCTTACTAAATGGTTGATGATGGTATAGTACATTTAACAGCTAAAAAGAAAATGTACATGTGAATAATTATTACTCAATTAAGTTTTCATGTAAGAAAATAAAATTTTGATAAATGAAAAAAACTGGTCATAAAGTCGTAAGTCCTAGAAACCCTCGTGAGGCTCTCAGACAACTAGGAACTGTAAATCACATTATGAATTCTGGTGTGAAGGAAGATTAATTTCAGGTAAATAACATTCAAAGTCAATTACATATTATGGCTACAAAGTTAGTAATTATGTGTTTTAAAGATTCATATAACTAAGCCTTGTACAAGCACTGATCTAAAATTAAGCCACCAATTCCTGAGTTTTGTGTTCAGTTTATAGAAAGAAACTCATAGAACTACAAGCGTTAGAGGACTATTAGATTAGATGTATGCTTTTAGTGTACAAGAAACAGTCACGAATAACCCTGTTCTTTCTTAAGAAATAGTTTTTGACTCTTTGGGTAAGAACCCATAACATTTGCTCTAAAAAGAAATTTTAAAAATAAAGAAAACAACTACCTATTTAGTCTTAGATGATACCCATACAGATGAAATATTATTTGGACCAAATGAAAACAACATACCCAAGTGGATAAGGCCAAAGTCCTAAGAGGTGGGTCACCAATAAAAAATGTTATCAAGGTTTAATGATGAAATGATTTTTGTGATAAGCCAATCAAGTTACATGTAATTAACTAATTTAAACCATAAAAAAGATAAAATTGTACA